CAGTAGGAAGATATTGTCAGTATACTCATCTACAACATGAACAATGTGTGCTTCCAGGTCCTGGGGTTGGTAAGATCAGTCCTGCTTAGAGCTACTGAAAAATGGTGATTTATTTACTTACTTACTTATTTTTTGCAAAGTATTTTCTTAAAATATTTGTGGCCTTTTACTTAAATATATTGGAAATGGAAGCTATAACTGATAGCTCTAACCCCATCTCTTGACAAAAAATCTGTCCAGACATTGCCATTGCTATGACAGGATTACTGCTTTGCTGCTATTTGAGCTTGGATGTCTCCTTGGCTGTATCTGAATTAGGAGGGGGAGGGAGGAATTGTCTCCCCACACTGAGCAGTTTGCTGTTGCAGGCATTTAGAGTGGGCTGGATCACGCAGGGTTGCAGACACATGTAACACTCTGAAATAAAAAAGCTAAAAATACAGGAAGGTTTATGATGAGGAAGTTGCCAGTAAGAATGTTGTACAGTTGAGCAAGCTGTTAAGTCCTAACATAGTATTACAAAGGAATGAAATGCCTCTGCTCAATAACAGTGTACCTGACACTAGCCAAAAGATCTTAAGCTCCATCTCTAATCCATCCACTAGACTACAAGACAACGGTGCCTAAACCTTGCTTTCTTCCATTTTAATGCCAAGTTGGAAGCATTTTGCAGCAGATCCACTCCACACAAATCAATTAGCTACTTATGGCCCCATTTTGAAAACTGCTGAGCTTTTGCATTTCTTATTAAAGTTAACTGAAGTTGCAGGTTTTCAGCACATCTTAAAATCAGGCCATTAACCCTTAATTATCATATAATAACTCAATTAAAAATCTACCAAGACTGACTTCAGTAGCTACCAAAATCCCATCATTTGCAGACTAGTCATAAAAATACTATTCTTTAGAGTCCTCTGGGCTCCTGGGGCCATTAAAGCCGACCTCTGTTAACCTTGCTAGTTAAACCAAATCATCAAGAGATTCACCTGCAAACAATTTACACTTCCCCACTTCCTTACATCTTCCTGAAGGTATACAAATTATTTCCCATTGTTTGTTGTGTTTGCTGCTTTGTTCTCCCTTCTTCAAACCAAAAACATGCACTTGATGTTCCATAGCTGACCAGCTAATAGAGTCCCCTAATTGTTAACAAAAAAGCCTGCAGAAAGAGAAATATGAAGGATTCTCTCGGTAATTGAAATCTAGCACATACTCTGACCAACTCAGGGCTCCATGCACTTGTTTCAAGGTTAGCAAGCATGTCATTTTCTTGATATATGCTTGCTGCGGTTATAAAGTTTCATACTACATGTGCTGCATCATAGCCAAGAAGAAAATGGTGACTTCAACCATACACATATACATAGTTCTAAAATAAAAAAAAATATTCTGATCAAATTCACAGAAATCAACAAGGAGATTGTAGGTGACTTCAGCTATCTGGTTCAAGCCCTATAAGAAGCTAGTGGATTCAGTGAGACTAGAAAATGAAACAATTTCTATTCTTCATTCAGGGTTGTTTTGCACGTTTTAAGCTCCCATAAATTATATAAGTACAGTATTAATGGCCAAACTGAACTGAGAAGCAATAAAAATAAAGCACCAGCTTTTGCTGGTATATGCAGATGGCAACAGCAAGTTACAGTCACGTTTTGCTTAGTCATTTAGGCTAGGAACATGGGTTACACGTAAACCGGTTTAAGTGATCTGAAACTGGTTTAAGCCTGTAACAGAACAGAAGTTCAGTGCACATAAGCTGCTTTCAAAATGGCCCAAACCAGGTGAAGATAAACCTGGTTGGATATAGTATCAGACTGAATTGATTTAAGTCAAACCGGTTTATGGAACTTTTATCCTAGATCCCTTTCCAATTCAAGTTAACTCACAGTCTCCCAGTATCCCAGAATGCTTTGCAGTCCTGGGCTGTGCTAACTGTTCCAGCAGAGCAGAGCTGACCCCTCCCCCAGCTATCACAGAGCTAAAGCCTCTACTCCCTGACAACACCTGTCAGCCCAGTAGGACGGGGTGGGGGGCATGGGAACAGACCCCCAGACCTGCCTATCCCCCTGTCTGTACAGGACAAGGGAAAGGAAAGCCCCAGCAGGGGGCGCTTTTCATCACTGCAGCAGTCATGTAAGCAAGGCTGGCATCAGCTCAGCCCCACCCCCGAGCCTGTGATGTGGGGTGGAACAGGATGGAGGTCAACTGCAGTGGCCTGGCCTTCCCAAGTGGGGTCTGCCCAGCACAGGAGGAAGCCCCGCACTGGGGGCTTTTCACTCCCCTGCAGCCAAGCTTGCTGGGCTGGCATTGGCTCAGCTCCACCCCCTCCCTGCCCCCCATATCCAAGACAGGTGGTATAGTAGAGGGGGAATGCACTGGCCTGGCCCCAGACCCCCCAGCCAGGGTCTACCTGGTGTGGGTGAGTGGGGAGAAGCTCCCACTGGGGGCCTTTCACTCCCCTGAAGCCCAGCTTGCCAGGCTGTGATCAGCTTAGCTCTGCCCCCTTTCAGCCCCCACCTTTGAGAGGCAGAGTAGAGGAGTGAATGCAACAGTCCAGCCAGACACTGGCCCCCCCCAGCTGGGCTGCCTGATGGGGGTGAAGACCCACTGAGGGCTTTTCACTCCCCTGCAGCCTGGCTCACCAGGCTGGTATAACCCCTCCCTCCCCCCGTGAGAGGCGGGGGCAGGGAGAGGAACACACCAGTCCAGCACCAGCCCCCCCAGCCAGTGTCTCCCCAGCACCAGGTAGTGAAAGCCCCCACTGGGGGCTTTTTGTAACCCTGCAGCCTGGTGAAACAGGTTAAGATCGGCTCACCCCTGCCCTCTTCCCAGGGAGCCCTGCTAGCCAGGCTGCAGGGAGGTGAAAAGCCCCCAGGTGGCAGCTTTTCCTGCACCAAGCAGACCCCAGATAGGGGGCCAGGGCTGGGTGGTGCATTCCCCTCCCCATCCCCCTCTTAGAGGTGGGGGCAAGGGCCAGATTTTCTGCTGGCTCTCCCCTCCCTGGGGCTGACAGCTGAGGGGAGGAGAGTGGCATGTGTCCAGCAGCCAATCAGGCCTGGGCTGGCACTAGGTGGGGTTTAGCAGCCTTAGGCAGCTGGCCATGAGGGATCATGCACATGAGCACCCCCAGGCTCTTGGCCTGGGTCAGTGCAGGCTTCCACCTACCTTGGTCACCCAACAGTAAATGTCAGTTCAGTTGGTTATCAGTTCAAGCTATGCAACTTAGAAAAACGTGTGAAGATTGAACCAATTCTGCCTCAGGCTTTTTGAACCTCTTTACTTAGCCTTAAACTGAAACTGAAGCTCCCTGTCTTGAAGGGGAACAGAACAGGATATGTTACAGTCCTGAACTCAAACCTTGTACATCTTGTGACTTCCACCTCACCAATGTAAAAACTGCTTCTACCCAAGAAGCACGCTCCACCTGTGAAACAGACATCTTTGAATGAGCTCTCCAAGTACTCTGCACAAAACTTCAAAAATACCCAGGGGGCCACCAGTGTTGCCAACTTGCATGGTTTTACTGAGATTCCTGTGATTTTTAGTGTTTTATTTAAAACCCAAAATGTAGAGAGAATGGATCATGTCAGACTCTCATCTCTAATTTTAAACAAAAAATGTTAGGGTGAAATTCTATGCTGCACTGTTAAGACACCACAGTACCCTAAAACACACACATTGTCTTATTATGGGTTGTCTTGTGGGCTAGGGACAGACATTACACATAAACCGGCTTAAGTGATCAGAAACTGGTTTAAATCTGTAACAGATGTTCAGGCACATAAACCAGTTTGAGAATGGCTGAAACCGGTTTGAGATGTACCTGTTTGAGTGTAGTATCAGACTTAACTGATTTGGCTCAAACCAATTTATGCAATGTCTGTCCCAGACCCCTTGCTGGCTTAAATTAAATCAGACTCCCCCAGCATCTCAGCATGCTCACTGGGCTGGGCAGGCTCTCTGCTCCACAGCAGGGATGGCCCTTCGCCTCTGCTCCTTAGCCAGAGCTCGGCAGTCTCTGCCGAGCTCAGCAGACGTCTGCCTGGCTTCTGCTCCTCCCCTCCCCGCTCTCTGTAAGCTGGCATTTCCCTATCCCTCAGCATTAGCTAGCAGACCACATACTGGGTACCTCCCAGCCGCTGCACATGGGTCAAAGGCAGAATCAACACGTCCCTCTGTTGTTTTCTTAATGAGCTGATAAACACCGAGTTAAGGATAATAAACACCGTGTTAGTAACTGTCTGCTAGGTTCCTGGTGGGGAAACCCCTCCCTAATCAGAGCGGCCAGGGCCTGGCCACGCCCCCCTCAGCTCAGCTATGTGCAAGGGACAGGGAGGCTGCTCTAGCACCCCTGACTTCTAACGTGAGCCACTGCAGGCATGTGCCTGCATTTCTGGGATGTCTGTCTGGTTAGAAAACTGATTTAGCCTAACCAGGTTAGACTAACCTGCAAAAATTTTATCAATTCAGGCTTGGACTTTTTGAATATCTATCCCTATCCCTAAAGTGGAAGAAATGTAATGACACTATAGGTGGGGCAGTTTATATAGGAGCACAGTGGCTGATGTTGTCACCCAACAGTGCTAATTAACCTACCCAAAGTAGTGTAGTCAGATGGCTACACTCCTTTCAGTACAGAAGACAACATGTGCAGAGCAGCATGGCATGTTTATGGAGCAGACACTATCTCACACAGTTAGATATATATGCCCTCCTTTTCTAATCCTTGTGACAGTGGTAAAAAATATGAAAATGAGACCTGTATATAACCTAAACACTCAAGAACATCAAACAAGCAGAACCCAGAATAGACATTTTAAAATGTAATGTTTTTTAAGCTAATTGCATGAATTTGGGGCCTCAAGTCCAGATTTTTGAACAGTTAAGGCTCACAATACAGCCAGAAGGCTTCTAGCCTATGGCTTTCTATACTTTGAGTCAAATGATAAGACATACAGTATTTGTTTGTTTTTCTCTTTCTGTTTTGTATCTTCCCTCAGTCTCTAGTAAAGCTGAACATGAAGCTGAAGCCCATGCTGGATTCAGTGGCAACAAACAGAAGTAAATGGGAGGAACTGCACCAAAAAAGACTTCTCTCTCAAGCAGCAGCCTCCTCTTCCTCCTCTTCCAGCTTTACTGTGTCTCTTGAAGACATAAATTAAGCCTGCAAATGCCAGCCATTGTGGTGCTGAGAGCTGTCTGAAAGGCTTTCTTTAGCTTAGTTCCATCAATTGGAAAAAAACTTAAAACTTTCACAGACATACTTAATTGACTGGATGTTATCTTGATGACAGTGGTTGCTTTTGCCTGGACATTCAGTGGGCCCGGAAAGAAGGCCTATGTTGATTAGGGTTATGTTGATATCAAGTCACAGGGAAGCTATAGTACAAGAAGCATTCATTCAGCTCCACTACCTTTCAGCTGCGGCTGTAAAAATCACACAAAGCTGACTATGGACTGAGATACAAGAACTTACAGCTTCATAAAATTAATAATACAGAACAGAAAGGGAATGCGCATTGGTCAATTCATATGCAAGGAACTGGAGGAGAAGAGAATAGTGTGTAATTACCTTGTTGTTTTGCATCTCTCTGGTGTTCATTATGAACCAATAATGCCTGCAATTGTGAAGTTTCTCTCTTACTCTTTCCTCCTCTTTTATGCTTGAATGTTCTGAAAAGCCTGCTTTATATTCTACAGAAGTATTTTTTTACAACAAAGTTCCTTGTTGATTGATCAGGACCTTTAGAATTGCCTCTCTTTGCTACCTTTAAAAACAAACTTTATTATCTTGAAAAATATCAACTGTCCCAGCTCTCCTAAGAAATTAAGAATAACAGTTCTGTAAATTACCCAGCAAGTAGGAATTTGTGCAAAGGCAAAACTATTGCATGATAAATTTTTAGAAACACTCCTTTAAAATATTGTTACTTTGCACTGTCCCCTAAGTAAAGTACTAATGGACGTTAACAAAAACAGGATAAAAAGGAAATCTGTTGCCTTGTGCTACAGAAGCTGTGTTGCAGAGTGCACCGTGGATATGCCTTTCTGATATAATTTCTAAATGAAATGAATATTTTAACTGTTACCCAACAGAAATGGTGGAGAAATGTGTACCATCATGCTGAACACTGACTGCCTCTTCTTTCTCTTGCCAGCTGCTGCTTGCTTAAAATTTAAGTCAACGTCCTGTTACAGTTACTGGAAAGCAAGTCAACAATCACATGCACATATATGGGATAGAGTTGTTTGTAACACTTTAATCAAACATCATAGGTCAAGAAGCCAAATGTCAAGTTCTCACTAATATTATGTGACCTCTCCGTTATGGCAGAGATTGCTGGCAACCTATGATTTGAGGCTGTGCACGCCATTCTGAGCACCTGAATACCTGAGGACCCATATTAAAATACTTAGGACTTGACACACAGAAAATTGTTCCATTCAAAAAAGAAATAAAAAAACAAACATACTAATGGCCCACTCTTTTGGCCATTAGTTCCTGAAGTTCCTGAAGAAAGTTATTTAGAAAATAGGAATGCCCACAGGCACTCACATAAGAAATGAAAGCCAGATTCAGAGCTCAGTTATACCTGCATATACCAGAAACGCTACACTGACTTTGGTACAATTGCTCTGGACTGGCAGAATCTAGCCCATATGACTTGATGTGCAAAAGATCTCAGTCCCCAACACAATGTCTCCCATCCAGGCATTTATGGCTTGTGTATACTAAGCACTTTCTAGAAAGCTGACCAATGCTGTGTAATTGATAATTAAACAAATGAGAACTTATTTAAAAGCTCTGTGGTGCTACTAATTTGTGTAGACAGCATACATGGGAGATTCCAGAACCACTGCAAAATCTAAGCTACTGAATCATAGTAGTCTTTTCTACCAAAGAGAAATGGGGAAGGGGAGAAATCTATGAATACAAGCACTGTTTGAACTTGTTTCTATTACCATTCTCCTTCCACAATAAATATAGAGCTGGGATAGTCTACTGCAAGCTTGTATAAAACTTATTTATATAATGCATGCTTTATGGGAAAAGCAGACATCATGATCGACATAGTACTGTTGGCAGCTTCACAGAGCTTTCCTGAATTTTGATATTGCATATCGCTAAATATAACATAATTTATAGTACACATACCCTACAGCTCCTCCAAGGTTGAGTTCTCTTATTTCCTTTCCTTTTTATTGGCTTCAGTGCACTGTTGCCCCTAGCAACACTCACTGGCAGTGATGGGAATTCAGCATTACTGCAACCTGACATACAGTTGAGGCCCTAACAATGTCAACCATCAATCAGTTGGCTGCTTATAATTGCCTCCATCTATTTCTCCTGTCTTGTGGTATCCTTCCTATTGTGGGTCAAAATTCAGAAACTGCTGACTAATGTTACGATTCTGTTCCTCTGTTGCAAAAAAGGGAATAAAAGAGCGCATGCTTAGATCCTCCTGCAATTCTCTTCTCAGGAAACAAAAAACCTCTGCTGAAACCAGTAGATTGTACTGGTGTGTCTGAAAATAGAATTTGGCCTCCACTGTTTTTTTAAACTTCAATTTAAAAAGGCTTCAGTGTGTTTCCTTAGGGAAGCACACGTACATACATTTCTTACCATTAAAGTATTCGTGTTTTTGAAGCAAGGGAACATTCTGTACAGAAATAATGTGTCATATTGTTTCTCACAATTAGGATGGTAGCGGGTACACCTTTGTCCCTGTTTGTCAGATTCATTTATACAGATTTTGGCAACTGTTCATTGTTTTGGTGCAAAAGCAGCTTTTCTTGAGGGAATGAAGTATTTTTCCAGAACTTTGAGCCATTTTGTAAACCTATTCCAGTAAAGACTGTAATGAAGTCACTGTAAAACACAGTCTAAGCTCAAATTCTGCTCTGCTCATTACTCTGCCCTTTGAACAGGCAGAGATTACCTGGCACAGAAATCACATTGGTTCTGCTGCACGAGTGGGAAAGACAGGATTTTTCACATGAGAGGGTCTGTACTAGACAGACTACACTGTTAACCACACAGCAGAGCTACTCTGCTGGAGATGCCCAATGCACAGCTCAGTATTCAGTCTGGTAAATAGGAGGATCTTCAGTCATTCGTCCGTTCCTTGCCTTCCGTGGAATTTTTGCCTAAAGTGATAACTAACATTTGTCTATATTTGTGGCCCAATATTACAAGGCACTAAGTATGTAGATCTCATAAAGTCCATTGGGGTATTTCATGGGATGTGCGAAATTTCAAAGGGTGTTTCATTTCGAAGCTGTTTCGAGCTCGAAACAGCAAAATCGAAATGAAACAAAAGGCTGGGAAATCGAACCGGGAGCTGGGGGGAAGCAAACTGGGAGCTGGGAAGATGTTCAGGTCCCTAAACATTTCCCCATTTCCCGGTTGGATTCCCCAGCCCCCTGATATTTCCCCCAGCTCTTCCAGGGGGGCACGGGCCCGCGGATGATGCAGGATAACAGCAGGCTGCCATTGCCAGCAAGTGATACAAGTTTTGCTTTGAACATTTTGAGGTTCAGTTTCCCAGAAACCCCTACACCTATCTCCCTGAAACTTGGCAGGCTCCATGCCCTCAGAAGGGGCTACCATCCCTGCAATTTTCATCTGAATCAGGCAAGAATGACAAAGTTATAGGCAGTTTCATGATTCCCCATTATAGCCTATGGGTGAAACATTGAAACAGCGAAACAATTTTGACAAAATGAAATGGAACAGTGCTTCGAAACAGCGAAATGAAACAGTCCTTTCAAAACGGCAAAATGGAAGTCGAAATGAAACCATGCTGTTTCTCACAGCCACGCCTCCAAGGAGTTGCTTAGGGCCAGCTCTGCAGAAGGACTTAGGCACTGCAATGCTTACCCCTTAGAGGTCTGAACAACTACAGCAATCCTCAGCTGTAACTTGGGTACCCAGGATACCTGTGTAAGTGAGGGAAGAGGAGGGGAGCAAGGTCCCTAAGAACAGAATCCACAGAAACCAGCAGGCTGATGAGGAAACTATATAAAACTTTGCCAGTAGAAATACTCAGGAGAGGGACAAGGCCTAAATTCAGTTCCTCAAAAGGCAGTTCAAGCACTTAACTCCACTCAGGATTCTCAGCAATGAGTCCTCTGCAGTAGTTAGGCATGCAAGCTAGGTCAGCCCTCTCTCATGAGGAAGGGGGAAAAAATCCTTTGCATATCTCCTGCTAGCTAGAGCTTCACGTAGGAGGTGGGAGACCTGTTTTCAAAACCCCACTCTGCCTACTTTGCAACAGGATCTTGAACCTAGCTCTCACGTCCCAAAAATTACCCAATCACTGGCTTATTGGGTGTTCTGGGATGAACCTTACCTAGTCTTTCTTGAAGTTGCTCTACAGAGTGTAACTAATTAGACAGTCATTTGGAGCACAGATTTGAACCTGACTGTACCACACAAGTACCCTAATCATCACACTACAGTCAATCTTTTTTTTCTCCCTCCCTGGTCCTACTATTTAATTATTAAAAGCAGGGGGACATGTTCAACAGAAGAGACTGAACAGGACTCTTTCCAGAATACCAAATAGCAAAATAGGAACGTCTGGGTTCAAGGTCCTACTCTATATCAGACAGAGAAAGGAAACATGAAACAGGAAAACATCTCCCACTGCCCAGGTGAATCTCTAACCCCTGGGCTAGTAGCTAAAGTATGATTCACCTGGTTGAAAAGTATTTTCCAGCTGTGAGACCCAGTCCATAGATTTGCTCTAAAATAGCTTATCCAGACTGGGGAGAATACCTCATTTAACTATCCTGTCAGGGCTTAGATGCAAAGTTGGGCTCTAAGCAATTTAGCAGTGCCAAAACTTAGGCAGATTTGTGCGCTAAAGTAGACACATCCGTGCCTTTCAGGTTAAACAGCAGCTGTGTACAGGGTTGATTTCAGTGGTACCTAACTGTTGGACTTAAGTGCTTAAGTGTGTTTATGTATCTAACCCAAAGTACCTTGCAGGATCTTGGCCACTGCTGATGATTAGTTATACAATTTGAATGGGGGATTAATAGACTTTGTACCCATGAAGAAAACAAATGACAAATAATAGGATGAGTATATTTCATTGTAGCTCAGGTATTCATTACATTGTGTCACTGGTAGAGTGGCTGCATTTTCTGGCCTGGTGACCTTCTTAACCTTTCCTACTTCCTGTGCAGTACAGTTTTATGAACATGCCTCCAATTATCAACAAAGCCAATGCCAGTATTCACAAAGTATTTCTAAAAACTGCAGCCAGCGGTGCCTGATAAAAAGCTAATTACTGAGATACAGACAGTTCAATAATTCATGCTAAAAATAAGACATGTTTCAGTCAATAGATTTTAGCTGTCCCTTAAGGAATTCCTCAGTATACTGAGATATTTTGTGTATTTATTAAAGACTAGCTTTAAGACTTCATGATTACATAAAACATCTTTCAGTCTATACCAGATTAACAGAAGGAACTTCCAATGTCCAAAATGACAGGAAAATGTCAAGTGAGAAAGTGGTATTTGCCTCTCTCAAGGAATCTGGGGATTTCCTGTACATGTTTAAATTATGTGAATGGGTTCTAACAAAGCACTTGTAAATCAGCTGAAATAAAGAGAATTCAGAGGTTATCAGTGATGATATGTTATTGAATATAACAGTAAAAGAAAAAATGCTGTGTATTGTTAGCCCAAAATAAGTAAAAAAAAAAAAAAAAAAAAAAAAAAGGTATGAAGCTTTCATACTTATTTTAATTTATTAGCATGTTGGACATTGCATCCTTTAACCGTGTAAGAAATACTGTTGTAAACTATCAGTGTCTGTGTTTGTGTATGTGTCTGGTATTACACACATACACAGTCAGACAAAAAAAAAAAATTTCTATCATAAATGGAGCTACATACTATAAAATGCATAATTTAGGACTGGAATTTGTCTTACCACATCAGTTTCCTTTGTGCATTTTAAAACCATTTTCCTCATTGTTTTGCTTTAATCTGTCAAACAGTGATGGTTCAACATTTTTTTAAAGGCATGTTTTTGAAATGGAGAACTTTGTTTGATTCATCTCATTAAAAAAATTAATAAACCACTTTAATGGTTTCTGTAGTTTAACTTTGTTTCTACTGGGGATTACCTAATTATCAAGGCCTTAGCTATTGATTATTGCATCACACAGAAAGAGTAATGGGGAAATAAAGACAACATTGATGGAGTGCTGCATTTTTTCTTTTTGGAGCATAAGCAGGAAAGTGTGCTGGGGTCAGATGACCCCAGCCAGATGCTATCCAGCCTTCTCTTAAAAACCCCCAAGGTAGGGGAGAGCACCACCTCCCTTGGAATCCTAATCCAAATTTTGGCCACCTTTACCATAAAGAAGTTTTTCCTGATGTCTAGCCTAAATCTGCTCTCTGTCTGTTTGTGACCATTGTTCCTTGTTACCCCAAGAGGTGCCCTGGTGAACAGAGCATCTCCGATCCCTTGCTGCGTCCCCCTAATGAATTGGTAGGCGGCCCCAAGATTACCTCTCAGCCTTCTCTTGCGGAGGCTGAAGAGGTCCAGGTCCCTCAGTGTCTCCTCATAGTCCTGTAAGCCCCTAACCATATGAGTGGCCCTCCTCTGGACTCTCTCAAGTCTATCAACAGCCTTAAGTACAGTGCCCAAAACTGGATGCAGTACTCCAACTGTGGTCTGACCAATGCCGCATGGAGGGGAAGTATCACCTCTTTGGATCTATTTGTCATGCATCTCCTGATGCATGATAAAGCGCGGTTAGCATTGCTGAGGATTTTGTCACACTGACGACTCATGTTCATCTTGGAGTCCACTATGACTCGGAGACCCCTTTCCGCTTCTGCGCTGCTGAGAGGGTCACTTCCCAGCCAGTAGGTGTGCTGGATATTTTTGCACCCTAGGTGCAGCACTCTGCACTTGTCCTTGCTGAACTACAACCTATTGTGTAGTGTCCACTTTTCTAACGTGTCCAGGTCTGCCTGCAATCGTTCCCTACCCTCCGGAGTGTGCACTTCACCCCACAATTTAGTATCGTCCGCAAACTTGGAAGGAGTACGCTTCACACCCACATCCAAGTCACTGATGAAGATATTGAAGAGTACGGGTCCAAAGACCGAATTCTGCAGGACCTCACTACCCACACCTTTCCAAGTCGATACCGACCTGTCTACTACCACTCTCTGGGTGCGACCGCAAAGCCAATTTGCCATCCACTGGACTGTGTAAACATCTACCTCACAGTCTCTTAATTTATTTATGAGAATAGCAAGGCCTTCAATACAGTATCTCATCCTAAAGTCCAAGAAAATGACATTCACCTCTACTCCTGTGTCTAAGCATTTCCTGACCTTGTAATAAAACAAAACCAGATTGGTCAGGCATGATCTACCTGCTACGAACCCATGCTGGTTTCCCTGCTGCATTATTTTTCCCACTGAACTCCCACAAATATGATCCTTCTTAATCTTTTCAAAGACCTTTCTAAGGATGGAGGTGAGACTGACTGGCCTATAATTACTCAGATCCTCCTTCCCCCCCTTCTTAAAAACAGGGACCATGTTGCCCCTTTTCCAGTCCTCCGAGACCTGACCCGAGCACTCAAACAACTGTGCCACTGGTTCTGCTATGACACTGGCCAAATTCCTTCAGTACTCTCGGATGCAGCTCATCCAGGCCTGCTGACTTGAATACATCCAGTCTATTCAAGTGACTCTGCACCAAGTCAGCGTCAAGAGTTGGTGGGCTGGTGTTCCTCCAATGCTCATCTAAGAACCCATTAAGAGACTGCCTGCACCTGCCCTGGGTACAGATCTGGGGGGCGCAGATCTCCCCTGCCCCCCAGAAGTGCACATAGCAACGGGGAACCAGCCCTCCCCCTCCCCTGGACAAGCCGCCTGTGGCCCCCTCCTGCTCCCCACTGAGGCCCTGCAGCTGCACATTGCGGCCCTGGTCCCCAAGCCCCACCTGGCTGGGTAGCAGCCCCAGCCCTGCCCAGCTCCCTCCCTACAGGGTCCTCAATCCCCCTCTCCCGCTCCCCACTTACCTGCTGAAGCTGCTCTACAAACTGCCTGGGGCCATGTGCATGTCTATGCACGTGGCGCCCCTTGTCTTTCCGCCTTTCTCCTGCTTCCTCCCAGCTCCCTGCAGGCTGGAACTCTGCCACTCTACAGGG